AGGCATTAACATGAGACACATTGGATCCACCCCTAACATAATCAAAGCGGCAATTTATAAGCATCTCACTGGCCTTCACTATCAAGTATCTACTTAAATTGTATGTTGTTGAACAGACAACATTACAAGTTTGACTATTGCCTTGATAGTCTTACCTTATCAAATAATAAGGCCGCTTACTAATTTTATAAAATGACAATCTTTATATTTTTTGGGTTTTTATTGGCCTCAGTTTATATGTGAATGCGACTACAGTCAACTGGCAGGCTAAATTAGGGCAGTTCACAAATTGTCTGGTTTCAACAAAGTATGTGGTACCCAATTAATAATAATGCTACATCTTGTCTTTCCCTTGGACCTTATATTAGTTTCATAATTCAACTTACACATATTTTTATGAATTACAAAAATAGTGTGAACATAGATGTAATTTGTAAAAGGTGTAATGATTTTGAGGCACCTAAAAGTAGAAAGTTATAATATCATTATTTTTAAGATCATAATTAAACAAGCTAATTTGGTCCTAGATCTTATTTTAAGAAATACTACTTCAAATGAATTATAGCCTGAAATATTGAAGATCGTTATTGATGATGTTATTTGACATAGTTTCTATCTATTAATCTATTACGGTATAAAGAGTGACGTAATTGATAGTATTTATGAAAAATTAAAATTTTTGTGGTTGGCTTAGATAGTATTTTGGATGTAATAGTCCAAAATCACAATTAATTTTTTGGTTTAAAACTGTCACCTCAAATGTGACTAAGGTCCCCCTTTTCCTAACCACCAAAAGTAGAAAATGTTATTGACTAACTTTTTATTTTTTAGCAATGTTTATTGACCATATAATTACCAAAGTTAGCCCTTAAAAAGGCCCTTTCGCAAGTGGATGCTCAAAAATAAAGAAAGCCCTTTAAAAGGCAATCTTAAATCTAAGGATAAATCACTACCTCTTGTCAACCACCCCCAAACCCCATATAGTGATTAGGGTTAGTTGTTCATCATATCGGTCCAAGATCGGATCAAACGAAAAATTTAAATTTTAAGAACCGAAAATAGGATTGAAATAATCGGTCTACAACCCAGACCGGACCGCGTTGCACCGATTTTAGAATTTTATAAAAAAATACTAAGTTTTTTATAATATTATGGAAAACTCGAAAAAAAAATATAGGAAAAACTCTAATTTAGCCTCCTTTTTTTTTTTAAAATTTTTTTTACGTTAAGTACAAAAAAAACTCATATAATTAAAGTTTTCAAATGTTATTAACTATTAAGAATAATCTTAACTATTATCTAAGATTTTATGCATAAATTTAATCACAAAGAGATGAAATATGATAATTGGTATAAAAATTTTATGTTGTCAATTGTCAAAATTTATATGATTAAGGTATGACTAATTTAAGTCATGGATGTATTGTAAACTATCACATTAATTTATATAAAGCTTAATAATTTTCAACAAAAACTTGAACTCTACTACTTGTGGTATCAAATGAGAACAAATCAGTTTATATTATCGAGAATTATGTTTAGGATTAGAGAAGCCACCTAATCTGTTGAACATATACATCTTCATAAACCTTGTTTGATGATGAATTTAAAAAAAGCATAATAATACTCCCTTCACTTTGGTCTTAATAGTGTTTGTCTCATTTGATATATATACATCGATGATGATGAATAATCTATCTTAATCATAATCATAATTTTTCTCTTTCTTCAAGTTATATTATATTACGAACATACAAGATAAATACAAAAATAAAAATAAAGAGATCTTTCAAAAAAAAAAATAAAAAAAAAAATAAAGAGTACATAAACTCTATAATAAAAACAATTAAGTACTCACTTAGTACAAGTATATAATATGTGACGGATAATTTAGTTATCAATCCAAAAGGACTACCTATGTACACATAAATTAGTAGAGTATAATTTATACATGTTGACTTAGTATTAGGTAACACTATTCAAAAATTAAATTAAAGTAGTGGTACTAATAATAATAAAAAAAAAAGTACTCTTGGAGTCTTGGTTAATTGGAGAATGTGTGAACTGGTAAAAGGATGCGGTAAAGAGAGCTTTGGGTGAAGAGAATAAACACCTACTCTTCCCAAATTACACACAACATTTTGTCTGATTATCCTCTGCTCCCATACTTCTTCACGAAGCAAATCACAGCTAGTCAACGCCCCTTTTTATTTATCACCAAGCATGCACGATAATATATATAATGAAAAATACGTATTATGTAATTTTTTTTCTTTTTATTTACAACAAATAATTTTATGTTTTATATAAAATACCCATTTGTTACAAATTAAATATTAAAGATATTCACGATTGTATAGTATTTACTAGGTAGGATTAAAATGTTATGAAACATATTTATGAAACCTAATAAAAAAAATGAATGTAAATGAATCATAGGGAAATGTTTGGCAACAATTAGCATCGTGATCATGAGATATAAGAGTAGGAATTATAAACATAAAGGTTATAGTGGACTAATACTTTGTACTTTGATTGCTAGAATAGTTTATGTACGCATCACAAAACTTTAATAATTTGATAATTTGGGTGCATGAAACTTGTAAGATATCACAATCAAGCAAAGATGAAATGGACCCACAATTGAGCTAACCCACCCATATAATTCTAAATCTAAAATGAAAAAAAAAGCTAATTCTATGATACATGTGATTACGACGGCAGTGAATTGAATTGATAAGAGGGATATAATTATGATTAAGATTGACTATAAAAAAAAAAATAATGTAAGTGGAAAATGAACATGGATTGTAGATAAAACAAAGCTGGATCTAAAATAAAAATGACGGTGACTCCATTTTAATGTCAGAACTCAGAATTATGCCGGATGTCCTGGCGGATCCCAATTTCTTCCCACGCGTTTTTTAGGATCGTAACGCAGTACATATGTACAATTATACATTTATACGTCTGTTAATCCAGCTATTGTACTACTTCGCCTTTCATAGTAAAGGAGGAAGATAAGAAAATCTCCTAGTTTCAACTTTACAAACATAAAATAATAACAATACTCTAACATTTTAAGCAGAATAAAGAAAATTCAAACAGTTAAATATGCCTATCAGCATCATTAACATTATAATCCATCTCAATTACGAAGAAATGAAATTATGAGGGGTACTTAATATGCGACACTATCTTACTAAGCCACGAGGAAGTTGCATCTAGCATATTATCTCAAAAGCGCCACGTTTCGATAGTTTACATATTACCATGAAACAATTTTATTTATTATTATTTTTTTGAATAAGGATAAAGGAAAAGGTAAAAAGACAAAAAAGGTTAAGCTTCTATTTTGTCTTAATCGACCTACATCTTGCCTAATGAACGTTTTTTGAATGAACTTGTTGTTTTTACATTAGAGGGTAATTGGGGTAAATGGTAAATTACTAAATTTTATACTACATATTAATTTATGTTAGTCGGCACCTATTTTTGAAGGAAGCACATATTTACATTATAATTTATACATATATGAATTTAGTTTTCTTATTTTAATTTATTTTTACATTTGCAAAAACATAACTTACTTTGTATATAATTTAAATTCATGCAATACACACCATCTTATCTATTCCTTTTAGTTTGTCAAATTTGTGTTTTTTTTTTCTTTGATTTTTTTATGCATATGTTTAAATTTTAATATGTTTAATTATACGTTATTTTAAATAAAATAAGTTTGACACCTAATCAACTCATTTAAAAACTTTATTCACAGCTACATTAGTAATAGACTAATAGACAAAACATTTTAGCTCTTTTAGTTGACAAGTTAGAAGCAAATTATTATTATGATAAGGATTGGAGAGGCCGTTTATAATTTGAAATAATTAACACCATTTTTCATGTATCTTATTAGGAGGAATATATAAATAAAACATGTTTTTTTTAGCTATAATGGAATCAAATTCTCCTTTTTTAAATAGATGATTCAAAAGTATTTATCAATTATCAAAAGTGCAAAAGTATAAAACAGCAGCGAACTTATAAATAAAAATAAGAAAAAATAAAAATGAAGGAAGAATGGAATTATTATAAAGCTCATTCACTATTTTAATTTACAATTTTGTAGCCCTCCTTCTCAAGACAAAAGGCAATAACTTTGCATTTCTCATAGACTTAAATTTTCTCATTTTTTATTATCACTTGTCATAATTTTCTCATATTACACATTACTCCGTAATATATTTTCGCATCAAACGTGTAACACAAAGATTTTTTTTTTTTAATTAGTTTTTTCAAATTAATTACTGTCAATAAAAAGCAAATACTCACATTATATAGAATATAATGAATATACATTCTTATTAAAACCCAAAGCAAAAATGATCCAATTGAACAAGTTTTACCTTAAGTGTAATATATAGCTTTGTCGTCTTCAAAATTAGAAATAATATCAAGCCTACGAAAGTTACCATTCAAATCCAATATAACTTGAATTAAGCATTTTATGACATAAAGAATTCAATTATCACAATATTCAAAATACACTCAAAAGTACGAGAGGCTTACTCGTTAATAAAATGGATTAAGTTACTCACACAAATCTTCAATCAAGTAATATCACTATCCTATCAGTAATTTTCCAATGACCTTATCATCAATTTCTTAAATTGACGAAGTCTTATGTTACATAATTAAAATAAAAAAGTTGCAAAAAAGTTTTTAGTAATAATAATACTAATCTATAATCCATTAATTTTAATCCTAAAAAAAAAAAGTGGGGGTGGGAAATAGCATAAAAAGGATCTGCCTTTTGACGAGCCACGTGTAGATGAGGAATGAGGATCCCGTTTACACGAATCCGGTTAAAATCCCGCGTTATTTTTGTAAGTTGTACTTGTACTACTCCTTTAGCCGTTCTCCACATAATACAATCTTGTACAGTATGAAAACGTCGACAATAAGCTCCCTATGAAATTATATAAGTATTTTATTTTATGAAAACAATAATAAAAATAGAGCCAATGAGAAGGCGGTCCAAAATGCATTAAATGCGGCAGAAAATTAAAAAACCGTCCAATTTATTCACTAGACCCGTACTTTGCAAGCCAACCCTCTTCTCCTCATTTTCACCGGCATTTCCCGGTCTCCATCACTTGTACCTGTTTCCCACACTTATATTTCCCCTTCATTTCTCTCTCTCTCTCTCTTATTTTTTAAACCAAACAGTCCCTTCTTCATTCTCTCTTCATATTTTCTCTCTCCTCTAAAACCTCAAATGAAGGAGGAAAGGATTGCTTCTATTTGAAAATTTGATGGATGATAATAAGCATAAGATAATTAGTGTTGAAGAAGTAGGCGGTCCGAAAATGATAGATAACACCAACAACAGTAGTACGAACAACCACCACCTTAGTCATAGTATTAGTAGTACTAATACTAGTACTAGTAATCTTTCTATATTCTCCGATCAGATGATGTTCGGATACAACAACAACAACAGCTTATTCGACGTTGCGGCCGCTACCCCATTGGATATGTTGATGATGGGTAGTTTTGACAAAGGTAATAATAATAACAACAACAATTATTTGGGGTTCATGGATATGCTTGGATTCCAAGATTATTTGGGCGGCGGCCCAACTTCCTTATTCGATCTGCTCCCACCCACCAATATTGCTACAACACTACCATCAACAGCAACGACAACGGCACAATCATCACCACAAGTGATAGTGCAGCAGCCGCAGCTGGCTGTGAAGACGACTCAAGTATTAGATCCGTGTTTAAGCGGCTGTTCAACAGTGGTCGTACCTGGGGAATCATCGGAGGCTGCCAATACCCCCGCCACCCCTAATTCTCTTTCCATCTCTTCGTCGTCGTCGGATGCTGTCAACGATGACCTGCCTCAACACCAGAGTCAGACTGCCGACGATGCTCATGATCATCATGAAGAGGACAAGTCTAAGAAACAGTATGCTTCTTCTTCTTCTTCTTACTTTTTTTCTTTTTTCAAATTTAAATTAGTACACATAATTAATTTATTTATAATTATGTTGGAAAATAAAAAAGAGGCCGAAAAAATTTCATGTGAAAAGAATTTTTTTTTGGTTGATTGAGCATATACATACATATGTGTATAATCCCGTGCTCTGTTTACTCTTGACTAACTACTTAGTCAAACCTGATTTATGGGGGATAATTAAAAATTGAAGAGATGAATAATATCTGGTCAATGGGATTTGGTTTTTTTCTTTTGAATTTATAGCTGATTCCTTAATTACTAAGGACTTGTATTTTTAATTTTTATCAATTTAAATTAATTTTCATATCATGATTTTAATTTTAAATTGTTTTTGTACTATTGTGTGGTGGTATGAACATAGGTTGAAACCAAAGAAGAAGAACCAGAAAAGGCCCAAGGAGCCGAGATTCGCGTTCATGACAAAGAGCGAGGTTGATCACCTTGATGATGGCTACCGTTGGCGAAAGTACGGCCAAAAAGCCGTTAAGAACAGCCCTTTTCCACGGTAATAATTACATTATACTTAAGATGGAGCTCATCATTTAGGTTTGTACTGTGTTGGTATTAAAATTTATTGATTTGCAGGAGCTATTATCGTTGCACCACAGCAGCATGTGGGGTGAAGAAGCGAGTGGAGCGGTCTTCTGATGATCCATCCGTGGTGATGACCACCTATGAGGGGCAACATACTCACCCGTGTCCGGTGATGACTCGTGGAGGGATTGGTATTGGCATCGGGATGGGGATGTTCTCGATGCCAAACCATCTGAATCAATGCAGCACCGCTCCCACCACCCCATCTGCTTTTGGTGGAAGCGGTGCTGCTGCATCCTCCACTCTTCTCTTCCCACACCCTCAACACTACCATCAGTCTAACAATCTCTATTCTCAACATCAGCAGCAGCAATTTCCGAGTTTCTTTCATAACCAAACTCCAACTTCCTTGAGCTTCTCAGCTAGTGGTGGCGGCGGCCAACAACACCCTAACTCGATTGCTCTTCAGAGAGACATGCGTCCTCCTTGTTCTTCCTCCTCGAACCAGGTTAGAGATGATGGACTTCTTCAGGATATTGTGCCTTCACAAATGCGTAATGATCAACAACCAACTAAAGAAGAATAGAAAATCTCGGTTTTTATATAAATTCTCTATTCAGATAAAACTATGATGTTGGGATTTTTGTCACATAGTAGTAGTAATAGTAGTATATCCCTTTCCTTTTTGTGTCTTTATCATTTGCTTAATTAGTTTTAAGTAGGCATATTAGCGCGCTAACTTTCCAAGGAGGAGGAAGAGGAGGAGGAAGGAGACCTAATCTTCATCGTTTCTTAAGATCAGAGGCCCTCAGTAATTTTGGTTGAAGATTCTAGTTGAGGGGTATGTAAACACTTTCATGGTAGATTGGGTTCATGAAATTCCTATATTCTTTTCTTCTTTTATATTTTCTGTATATCAGGCTCTTTCTTAATCAAATCTCAGTTATTATGAAGATCATTCAGCAGTAAATTTTTACTCTTGTAGATCATTTCACTATATATATATATGCATATTTTGCTTTTCATTTTATCTATATATGGTGTATAAATGGCATTTTTTTTAACCTCAGTAGCTATCTAGGGTTAGGGTTTTGGAATTGAGCATATATTTTTGGATGAGTGCAACTTTCAGAGCATTAGCTTCTCTTTTTGTGTGCCTGAGACTTTAAAAGGGAGTAATATATTGGGGAAATGAAGACAATTGTAGCATTACCCAAGCTTTGGAAATTGTACCTGTGGCTTTTTTCCTTGTTGAAAGCAAATAGAATAAGGAACCCTAAAGATGATGGAATATACATATATATTGAAGTTGTAGTTTAATCTTCTCATTTTAGATTTTGAAGCCAACCTTTATTAGCACTTTTCTTTAAGTGAGTTTGTTAATGGTAGGGTTATGCATATACGTGTTCAGATGACAAACCGTCTATGTTTTTATTCAATGTTTAGTTTTCGATGTAAAGAGAATTACAGGTTTGATGAGGGTAATTAAATAATTAATGGTATAGATGAGATTCACTTTCAAAATCTAGTATCACCTCAAATCTGTAACTGACCAAATGCTTACGAAGTTACGAGTAGGTGTATGGAGTATAATTATAAACTTGTTCATAATCGTGAAAGTAGTGTTCAAGCATATTTTCCCTATTGTTTTACATTTGTGGTACATGAAGAATTTGACCTTTTATTAAGACTTTGAGTAATTTTGTATGATCCCTTGAATTGTGCAAAGTCTAAAGCTGACTGTTGATACTTACCTTTTAAAACGCGATAGAGTATATGGAAATCAAACAAGAAAAACCAAAATTTGACAAGGGAATAATATTTAAGAGAACATTGATCATACAGTGTTCCTTGTACTATGGAACAATTTTTTCTTTCTCAATAAACTTTGGTGTTAAAATTACCCAAATTAATGAAACCATGCTTATTATATAATCGTGCACGCTAACTATATCTAGTCCACACTATTCCATATGCATCACTCCCTATTGTATCGTACATGTGGTGTTTAATTATCAGGCTAAAGAGCTACTCAAAATTGATTATTGTACAATCTTTATCAATTTAATGCATTGCACTTATTAGTTTGCTTCTTATTATTAATTGAGGAATGGTCTAACATTTTGGTTGAGATGTTTTAATTACTTTCAGTTAGATCGTTGGATGGCTAGGTAGCTGCTGCTTTAATTTATGACTGATTGGGTTAATGAGCCTGGTATGTCCCTTTGAAGACCATATGTACGTAGGAGTGGCTTTTCTTTAATTGCTTCTTCACGGTTTTAATTTGGCTGTAAATAAGATAGAATCTTATCGGACTTATATTGTGTCTAGACTGTCTACCACTCTGATTTGAGTGGTAGACGCCAACGATTTGAAGTGATTGATGAAAGGTAATTAAGGTATGTTGTCTAAGAGTAGAAGGAAGATTTTTTAATCATTCTACTAGACAAAGGATTCTTTTCACAACGTGATATAAAAGGGATCAAATCTTATTAAAGTTAACCTTAGAAAAACTAAAAGCGTTGTGTTAGGTTTTTAGTTGCTTTTCGTCTTCTTGTGAATTCATACTCAACCACTAAAAGATGATCAAAGTTCCACATAAAAAATTATCTTAAGGAACGTAATTAACCCCTTTTTGTCATAATCCGAACAGCATAAACTGAGTGTAACACATATACTAATACAAAAGTTTGTAAAATTAAACAAGTGATCATTTAAATATGAGTACTAATTAATACTAATAAGATACATAATCTTCGCTTTTCTAATTCAATTCGAGATACTTAGAGAAGTTGATTCTTATATAGCAGCAAAAATAATAGTACTTTGCGTACTTTCTTCAATCTTTAACATAGTTTATAAATTTGCACATGCTTTATTTAGCGAAATTGTTACACGATGAAAACTATCCCTATTAATCTTTAAATACATAAAGATACGCCTTTAAGTCTTTAGATATAAACAATTATTGTTGAGTAACATAACAAAATTCATAAATTAGTAATGTATGGAAATTTATTGTTAGTTTGGCAAAGATACTTAAGAACATAAGTATATATGGACATATGGTCAACAAATTAAATTTTCTAAAAAAAAAAAAAAGATTTTGGGATAAAAAGGAATGTGGACGGAACCTCTCTAGATTTTAAGAACTAAAAGTTTAGCTAGTCTATCAATGTCATTCATAGCTAAAGGATCCATAAGGCATAAGAGCCGGGTTTTCAACTGTCTTATTTATTTGTTTAGTTTTATTTTGGCGTTGTGATTTAAAGACATCAAATTAAAACAGTTCACAAAGTATAAGAAAACAACTTATTAACCTTCAGAAAAGAAGGGGGGGGGGGGGAGGGCCAAAGTGGAATTTTAAACAAAGATATTGGTAAAGAAAGAGATAGATTGCTACCACAACACCACCTTTGCACAAGGTGAGCAAAAAGATGATAACTTTAAAATGCCTTATTTACTAACTTTAAACTTTTAGGTGTTTCTCCAAAAAGGTTAAGCTCGCTTATGTTGGCCATGTCTATCTTTTCATTTCATATAGTCATTGTAGACAGGCTATAACTTTTCAGACAAATGATTGTTGTTGCTCTAATATTCCAATGAATTACTAGCTGTACACGCTTCCTTTAAATATACCCAGCATTTCTTATTATTCGTTTTGTAACTAAACTCCTATTGTTAGATGTTACCTTTCTATTTTTAACTCATCAAAAAATTGAAATTACTCCAATTTGATGAATTATTATTTAGGTTCAACTTTGAGACTAAAACCAATTCTATTATATGATTGATTATTGCAATTATATACGTCAAGAATTTACACAAAATCTGAAGGTTGACATAGTCTAATAATGGACTATAGGATTTTTTTTCTTCTTCTCTAGATTAGAACCAATAGAGTGAATTAATAGCTTCTAGTGATTTATTCAATCATATTATCAAGAATTTGACTTTTTCAAGGAAGTAGGTGCAAATTCACAATGAAATATTGTATTCTTCTAGACAACTTTAGAGATAGAGAAAAAAAAAGCCACAAACTTAGCGCAGTTGAGGTTACATCCAAAATCTAACTGGTAGCTCATTTAGATTAAAAAGTAGTAGCTCTGCCCCTTGGTGGATTGTTTCAAAAAAAAAAAAAAAAAAAAAAAAAAAAAAAAAAAAAAAAGTAGTAGCTATATTTTGATTAGCTTATACTGCGAGACAAGCAGACAACATAGCATCACATAAGTTATCCGTGCAACCTAAATTCTGCCCTAGGTGTTGTTTGGATGTTCTCTCATATACTTGGTATGTCTTTGGCTCAAACCCAAATGTTTGTATTAAGCCTATAAATTACCACTTAAAAGTTTGGAGATATCAATACGTACTAAATCCATAACGACCATAAGTGCCTTAAGTATTTTTGGATCCCCAAATATTGATAAAATTATCCCAACAAAAATATATATAATCCTTATTGGTACTGTAGTCAATAAGTAATTTATATAGAGAAAAATGATAGTGAAGCATGTGATATTCTTTCCTCAATTTGCTTAGTAAAAAAGTCATAGTTTTCTGTTGCAAGAAAGGGAGTAACTCTTTCACATGAATTAGATTGATTCATGTATTGTAGACAATAAACAACTATGTTGGAAAATGTTTATTCCCCTAGAAAAAAAGGCATGCATTGTGGGAATTAGATCCTTTTACTGCTATAATTGCATAGTTATTTTTACATAATTTGGGATAAAACTCATAAAATTCTGATAGTATAATTTAATTTGTGCATAATAATCCCCAAACCCTTCTCGTCTCTCTATATAATAGGTAGAGGATCAATATGGTTTGCAAATTTCAGACATTTACCCTTCATTCCCCCCCTCATACCAACAAACATAAGGTCAAAGTTTGTACGGAAATTTACAATCCTTATATTAATTTAATGGTTAAAGTCTATCTTCAATGAACATAAATAACTTCTTGGGTAAATATCAGATATTAATGTGCAATATATAATAGGGTATTTTAGTCATTTTGTACAATACTAGTAGGTAAATGATCTTTGAAGGTCGTAAGAATGCATGTACTCCATATAATTATATAAGCATAAGCATACTATTACCCTTTGCTAAAGCATCATCTATATGTGCCTTCGGAAGCATGATGTGCATACTATATATCCTTTGCTTAATCAACATTTATATGTGCCTTCGAAAGCATGCTATGCATATTATTTCCGGTTAATGTATATTTGCGTTATAGTTATTGCAATCCCTATTTCACAATTATATGTTACTCCTTTCGTTTTATAATGTTAGTTCCATTTTTAGACGTTTTAAAAAGATATACCCATTTTGAATATGTCCTCTTTTTAAATTAATTTTTTTGGAATTAATTGGTTGTGGATTAATAACATGACTCTAAACAAGGAATTCTCTACCTTGAATTTTGCAATTATGACTTATGCTTTCCCAAAATAAAAAAAAAATCAAAAATCAAAACTTAAATAAGATAAACTAATTATGAATTGTTTTGTAATTTAATGTTAGATTCCAAATATTTTCTTTTCTTATTTTATGTGATTGATTTCACATGGAACTAACATTATGAAATGGAGGGAGTATATAATTTTATAAAGAAGTATACATTTATATCCCTTTTAACTTGATCTCTTTAATTTTAAACCATATGTCTTTATTATATGAATGAAAATGAAATATATTCTTTTAATTTGAAATTTTATGATTGGCCCTGCCCCCCTCCCCCCACCTCCCGAATTAATGGTTCGTGGAGGCGGATGTACCATGCGCATGGTAAATCTATTTTTAAAAAAAAAGCCCGGAAAGAACATTCTATAGAAATATAAGGAACATTTAGTTACAGTGAAAAATAACATGGTATAGAATTGTAAAGAACATAAATCTATAGTGAAAAAAACATAAGTATTGTTAAAATGTAATGAACGTGATAAAACAACATAAGAGATATTAAAAAAGAACATA